GTCCCCGGCCGCCGCGGGCAGGGCCCGGCGCATCCCGGGGGGCGCGCTGGTTCTCCCGGCCGAGCTCAGTCTCTCAACTCACGTTTCTCTGCGCCTGGAGTCTCCCAAGAGTCGCCGAGCTCGGACTGCCGCATGCCCGCGACCGGACTCCGCCCGTCCCGCTCAAAAGTCTCCCAGCCCGCGCCTACACCCGCGGCGGGCCGTTTCCTCGTTCGTTGCCCGGGCAACGGAGGACCGGACGACGGAGCGCCGCGAGAGCCAAAAATACCCGCAACGCGATGGTGGACGGCGAGAAGAAAACCATTGCGGGTTTGTCCTGTGGCTCCCCCTCGTGGCGGGAGGGGGAGCGACCACCATCGCCGCTAACCGCGCAAACTGCGAAGGATGGAGAAGAAAGGGATGAAGGTGGAAATCAAGGCGACAGGACAGAGGAGGAGACTGTCAGCCAATGGCTCTCCAGCACGGCGACACACGAATACCATCTGGAGAGCTAAAAAATCCCAAATGCCGCCAGTTGCTGGTGGCCCCCGCCTGTCATCCTCCCTATTCAGAAGGCTGCGATCTGAGGATTGCGACTCAAAGAACAGCCCGGGCCGGGGAACCCACCAAAAAGCCGGAAGTGAAGCTGTGGCTCAAATGAGAGAGCGCTAGCTTTGAGCTTGAAGCTCGGCGACAGCACCCAAGCCCTGAGTTCAAGCCGCAGGACCAGCACACACACACACAAAATCACTTTATTGGTCACACACACACGCACACACACACACACAAGCTGTGTGGGATTTCCAGGGATCTCACCTGCCAACCACCACCCCCTTTGCAAACCCCTATAGAAGCTGTTCTCACCCACCCAAAAATGCCTGGTCCATGCAATGTGAGGAGAGACTAAAAGGGCTATCGGGGCTGCTGGTGTCTGGCTCCTGGTCTACTGCACTCAGTACACCCTTCCTTGTGTGGAGACATCACTCCGAAACACCTGTGCAGGGACACCTGTCCTTGGTGGTCTTCCTGAGGTGTATGGCCAGCGCTGTCTGGAAATCAGATCTGTATAGCAGAACTTGTTCTAATAGGCAGGACCAGATCCTGTGTGCATAAGAAGAGACCAGACATGGAATCACATTCTAGAACCTTCTATGCATTCCAGAACATTCTATTCAGAGCCTTGGGGCTACTCAGCCTGCTTCCATCGACTAAGATACATTCCTCTGCTGGAATAACACTAGCAGATTTATTTATTTTTTTGTTGGTCATGGTGCTTGAACTCTGGGCCTGAACTCTGCCCTTGATCTCCCCAGTTCAAGGCGCGTTCTCGACTACTTTGAGCCACAGCGCCACTTCTGGTTTTCTGGTGGTTAATTGAAGATCAGAGTCTCACTGGCTTTTGCGCCCCAGATGGCTTTGAACTGCAATCCTCAGATCACAGTCTCCTGAGTAGCTAGGATTACAGGCATAAGCCACCAGCGTCTGGCTCAGCAGATTTTTTTGATTCACATTATGAGTGGAGGCCAGCTTGATGGGAAGGAAGAAGGCTTTATCTACGTCTGGATTCTTTCCTAGCTTCCCTTCCCTGAGAGCAGCTACATACAATGAGCTGCCCACAAGGTGCCCCAAACCCTGCATGGACTGACTGCATAGATATACCAAAGTAGTACCTCTCAGGCTCCATGTGGCCTCCTGCCTGCTTGCTCTCAACCCAATCAGCCCAGCCAGGCCTCCGTCCCACACCCATTCTGCCTGGCTTACCTAGAGAATGGCTCTGGCAATCAGAGTCACAGAGACTAAAGACCGGGATATACAGTGTTTCCCCAGGAGCGCGCCACCTGGTGGCACACTTTGGCATTAGGCTGTGCACCAGATAAACAGGGTCCTGTGGCAGGCACAGGGTTACCATTTATGTCACCTTGCCTGGGCAGACCCAAGGACAGGGCGGTGCCTCCCTCTCTGTGCTGCCTAAAAGACCAAAGTACTATTTTCACCAATAACTGAAAAAAATGTCTAAATATTTGGCTGCTGTATGCCAGGCTGTTTGCCAGGGACGGCGGCAAGCAGGCCTATTGGCTGCTGTTGCCTTGGCATTAATCAGGGAGAGTCGGCAGCCAGGCCCTGTGGGCCAGCGAGGCTGGTTGGCAAGGTGGCACTTAACACCCAGAGGAGCTGGCTCAACAAAACCCCATTTGGCATGTTTAATCCTGCTGACAGCCTGGCAGAGGGACCCGTGCTAGCACTGGAATCAATTACTCCACCATTGCCAGTCCTGGATAGAAATAACTCAAGAACTCGATGCATGAGCTGGCCTGCCTGCCAGCATGCCCACTGCCAAAATCACATTATCTGTGAAACCTCACATGGGTCCTGAGACAAAGCTATTACTGTGACAGATGAGCTGGCTGAACTTACAGAAGGGAAGTAGGGTAGGCTTCCTAGAGACCTTAATTCCAAGATCTCTCAATGTCACCTCATTTGGAAAAGAGGTCTTCGCAGATATGGTGAAGTCAAGGGTCTGGAGATGGGAAGGCCACTGTGGATTATCTGGGTGAGCCCTAAATGCCATTTACTATAGTCTTGAATGGGAATGTCCCCGAAAGGCTCATATGTTAAAGGTTTGGTCTCCAGCCCATGAATGTCAAAACAGGTGTGGAACCTTTCCGAGGTGGAGCCTAGAGGGAGGTCTCCAGGCTGTGGGTGTGTTGTTGAAAAGGATCACAGGACCCTGGTGACTTAGTTTTATCTCCTGGTAAGCCATTTGTTCTGCCTTGTGCTCCTGCCGTGATACGTCACCAGAGGCCCACACAAGGAGGCCAATTTGTCATGGACTAAACTCTCTAAAAATCTAGGGCTGGGAAGGTGGCTTAGTGGTAGAGTGCTTGCCTCGCATGAATGAAGCTCAGGGTTCGATTCCTCAGCACCACATAAACAGAAAAGGCCGAAAGTGGCACTGTAGCTCAAGTGGTAGACTTGAGCAAAAGAAGCTCAGGGATACAGCCCAGGCCCTGAATTCAGTCCTCAGGATTGGCCAAAAAAAAAAAGAAGAAAACTAAACCAAGAGGAGCCTTTTCCCTTTATAAGTTGTTTAACTCAGGCATGTGTTACAGTGATGGAAAGGTGACTATCATACCATCACATGTGTCCTTATAAAGGGTAAAGAACAGTCCACAGTCCACGTATGTGTGGAGTGGAAGGAAAGGGCGATGTGGCCATAAGAACACCTGGAGCTATGAGAATGGAGAAGAGACCTCACAGCCCCAGTGATGCTGATTTTAGGTATCTGGCCTCCAGAACTGTGCGATTATGAATTTCAGTTGTTTCAAACCACATTTCAGTTGTTTGAAAATGGGTGGATGGACTGGGATGTAGCTCAGTGGCAAAGTGCTTGATTTGTAAGTGCATCATCCTGGGCTCAATCCTCAGTACCAAAAGAGAGAAAAAAAAACATAAAACATATAAAGTAGGTGGTCATTTTTCACCATAAGAAACTTACCAACAGGGGCTGGGAAGGTGGCTCAGTAGTAGAGCGCTTGCCTTGCATGCATGAGGCCCTGGGTTCCATTCCTCAGCACCACATAAGCAAAAAGAAAAAGCCAGAAGTGGCGCTGTGGCTCAAGTGGTAGAGCACTAGCCTTGAGCTGAAGAGCTGAGGGACAGTGCCCAGGCCCAGAGTTCAGGCCCCACGACCGGACCCCCCCCCAAATAAAAGAAACTTACCAACAGTGACTTGCCCAAGGGCCACACGATTAGGAAGCAAACACATTGGAACCTGGTGCCATGGCTCACACCTGTAATCCTAGCTACTCAGGAGGTGGCGATCAGGAGGATCCCAGTTTGAGGCCTAGGCGAGCCCCCCTCCAAAAAGCAATTGCAAGACCCTATCAGAACTGATAGAGGGACAAAAAGCTGGACGTGGTAGCACATGCCCATCATCCAGCCATGTGGTAAGTACACATAGGAAGATGGTGGTCCAGGACAGCCTAGGAACAAATTCAAGACCCAACAATTAAAGCAAAAAGGGGCTAGGGATGTGACTCAAGTGGTAGAGCCCCCAGCTAGTAAGCTCAAGGAACTGTATTCAAATACTACTACTCCCAAAACAATCCCACCAAAAAAAAAAATTCAAGTAAACTCATTGGGCTTTAAACATAGTTTTCAATAGCTGTTATCTGCTGTTATAACTAACGTTGGTGTTACTATGCTGTACATGAAGAGGGTCCGTTTCTAGGCTGAAATGTCAGAAATACTGCAAAACTAGCCTACTTCTTCCATCCCAATAGATCGTGCTAGGAGAGACAGGTTTGATGATTCATTTGGGAAGATGCTATTAACGCTGGGTGGAGCTGGTTCTGGGAATGGTGAAATTTTGCCGGGTGAACACCTCACTCCCACTGAGTCAATTCCAACTCATGCACTGACTGCCATTGGTCCAGCCGGTCCTGGCAATCAACTTTGGAGGATGTTTGCAAGTCATGGAGAAGTGTGGTGGCTCACCAATACAAAAGGCTGAAGGTGCTCCTCTGCGTAGGCTGGAATTTCCCCTACAATGCAGTTTTTTAAATCAAATATTTCATCATCATTGGTGCATAGTATATACCGCACACATATCTGTGGCTTGTGTGGATATCTGCCCTGCTTTGGTTAAGCAGAGAGTGTTGGAGACATGTTGGACAGATACCAACCACTAGCTTGAAGGGACTGCCATTGCCCAAAACTGGGACAGTCTGGTCACTTAAATCAATTGGAACTGTTAGGAATGGGCAGTGTGGACCTACATTCTGCCCAGTACTGATGTGAATAAACAAACACATTTGTTTAGAAATGGTTCATTTACAAATCCTAAATGAACCAGGAACCTGTGGCTCATGCCCATAATCCTACTCAGAAAGCTGAGACTTGAGGATTGAGGTTTGAAGCTAGCCCAGGCAGACAAATCAGAGACTCTTCCCTTCAAATAATCAGCAAAAGGCTGTAATGGGAGGGATTGCTCAAGTGGTAGAGCATCTGCTGTAAACAACCACCACAAAAGTCTAGCAAGAGCATGAAGTCCTGATTTTAAGCCCCAGTGTCCCCGTGGGGGGGGGAAGGGGGAAGAGAGAGGATTGCTAATCTCACCGTACTTCCCTGTGAAGTATTATTCATTTCACTAAGGAAGCAAACCGCTTTACAGTGGAGAAGTGTTCAGGGGCGAGGGGTGCCACCTTACACAAAGGATCAAGTTAACATCTTCAATAATAGGACCACCTGAGCGTCAGTGGATCACGCCTGGAATCCTAGCTACTCAGGAGGATCTCAATCTGAGGATCACGGTTCAAAGCCAGCCTGGGCAGGAAATGCTATAAAACTCTAATCTCCAATAAACCACCCAGAAAACTGGAAGTGGCGCTGTGGCTCAAGTGGTAGAGCGCTCACCTTGAGCTGAAGAACTGAGGGACAGTGTCCAGGCCCAGAGTTCAAGCCCCACAACTGACACACACACACACACATAAAAGGACAGGAGTCATATGTCCCCTGTGACAACACACAGACATGACTTCACCCCAGGGCTGGGTTATTTGGTGAAGGACAGAACCCATAATCAGCATCAGAAGATATACAATCTGCATGTGATCGCGAGCGAACACTAGACAAAGCCCCAAGAAAGGACATGCTCCAAAGTCACCACCCTCAAAGACCTCAAGGTGGGCAGAGTCCGGGAAAGACAGGAATGTTCCAGACTTGAAGGAGACCTAAGAGTTGGGACAGTCACATGAAACATGCAATCCTGGCTGAGATCTCATGCTACCAAGGACATATGGGAACAAATGAGTAACCCTGAGGACTAAAGGCCAAATGGTAGTGTTGTCTCAGTGTGGATTTCCTGCAGGAGGAGAGATCGGTGATGCTGGAGGAGGAAAAACACATAAAAATAATGACCAGGGCTATCAGTAGCTTCTGTTCAAGTAGTTCAGAACAAAACCTATTATTTGTATAGTCCTGCGCCTTCTTTGCATGCCTGAGGTTGTATCAAAAGAAAAAAGAAGCCAGGTGCTCAGATCTGTCGTCATAGTCACTCAGGAGGCTGAGAGCTGGAGGATTTTGGTTCAAGGCCATCTGGACAGAAAAATCTGTGAGAATTCATTTCCAACTCTGCAAACTAGCAGAGCTGTAGGTGTGGCCCTATGTAGTTGAGGGCCAAGCAAGCAAGCAAGCTGAACAAGTATAAGGCTCCAAGTTCAAACCTCAGTACAAAAAGAAAAGAAAAGCCAGGCTTAATGACATATGCTTGTCATCCCATAATTCCAGTGCTCAGGAGCCTGAGGCAGGAGGATCATGAGTTCAAGGTCAGCTTAGGCTACATAGGAAGAAAGAAAAGAAAATTCCTCATAATATTCCTCCCTCCCTCCCTTTTCTTTTCTTTCTTTCTTGTGTGCCAGTATTGGATTGGGGTTTGAACCCAAGGCCTCTTGCTCGGCTTTCACTCATTCTGGTGTTCTACCACTTAAGCCACACCTCCAGTCTATCATTTTTCTGGTTAACTGGAGATAAGAGTCTTGCTCTTAGATCTCAGTCTCTTGAGTAGCTAGGATCACAGGTGTGAGCCACCAGTCCCTGGCAAGAAGCTACTTAACAATGAGCACTTACAATGTGTTAGGTAGGTGAATGGATGGATGGATGGATGGATAGATGATGGGTGGATGGGTGGGTGGATGAATGGATAGATGGTGGCTTTCAAAACACATCATGAACCCAGACCAAAGACATACCAAACCCATGTTCTAAGTCCAGATGCGTCTTGTATCCGCCATGGTTTGTGAGTAGCTTGACTGGCATAGAACGGGTTGAGAAATCAGGATGTCATCTGGTGCCTGAGGTCCCTGTGTGGGCTGTGATGTTGCTGTCTGAAAAGTGGGTGGGTTTCTGGCACCGGGGCACTGGCTCGGCTGGTAAGGCTGAGATGAGATGGTTTGGTAGGACGCTGGAGGCAGCGAGGCTGGGTGGGGTGGGAACAAGCCAAAGCTGGTCGTTTGTGCTCCTGTCTTGGGAGATGGGACTTGATGGGGCATGTCATAGTCTGAGTTATGTGCAAGATGTGATGATGGCTTTGTCCCTCCTGGTCCTCCTCACTTCCTGGTTCTACCTGGGTCATGCTCTTGGTCTAGGCCAATCTCTTCTCTCATCTTCCCCGTGACGGGTTCAGTTTGAATGATTTAGTAAAATTTGGCAGATATTTTTGGGACACTAGTGATTTCTCATCTGTCATATGATAAAACTCAAATTCTTTGCTTCTCTCTTCCCCCTCCCCACTTGTCTCTCTGGCCTCCACTTCCATCCCTCTCTGCTTACCTCATCCATCCCCCTCCTCCCCCCCCCCGCCCTGTGGCTTCACCAAGTTCTCCCCATGTAAGCCTCTTGCTCGCTCATGCACCTCCCGCTGCATCTTTGGCTTGGTTATTTTTTTCTTTGGGCTTCTCAGCTCAAATAAATGCTAGCTCTTTACTCCAGAAGCCTCTCTCAGCTCACAGCCTTGACAGGTTTGTTTGTTTCTGTACTGAGTACTGGGATTTGAACTCAGGGCCTCAAACTCTTGCTTGGCTTTTTCATTGAAAGTTGTGGATCTAACACTTGAGCCACACCACCACTTCTGGGGTTTTGCTGGTTAATTGGAGATAAGAGTCTTACAGACTTTCCTGTCCAGGCTGGCTTTGAACTATGGTCCTCAGATCTCAGGTTCCTGAGCAACCAGGATTACAAGAGTGAGTTACCAGCTCAGGGCTCATTTACCCTGTTTTGCCACCAGTGTTTTGTTTACATTTGTTTACATGTTGTATCCTCCACTGAAACATCAGTTCCACAAGGCTGGACTTTGCTGTCACTTTCTCCTCACTAAGCCCAGTGTGTAGCAGTTACTGGACACACAATGAATTTTACTCCAGAATGAGTATGAAGCTCAATGATTTATTTATTTATTTTTGGTCAGTCCTGGGGCCTGAACTCTGGGCCTGGGCACTGTCCCTCAGCTCTTCAGTTCAAGGCTAGTGCTCTACCACTTGAGCCACAGCACCACTTCCAGCTTTCTCTGCTTATGTGGTGCTGAGGAATTGAACCAAGGGCCTCATGCATGCAAGGCAAGCACTCTACCACTGAGCCACCTTCCCAGCCCAAGCTCAATGATTTTTGGATGAGCAAAGCCTTGGGTTTTATAAAGGATAGAAGCATCTAGGTGAGTTAGGATTGTGATGACTTGCGGCCCACATTGTGGGAAGCATGTCTCCTGGATTGTCGGAGTGGTATTTGGGAAACAGGCTGGCGGAGTTGGATTATAAATTGGGCTGAATCCAACAGGTAACACCAGACTGTTGAGTCAGTCTGGACCCCAGATTTGGGGAAGGAGCTGTCCAGTTAGACAGTGACCAACAGCTAGAAATGATTGAGAGCGAAGAATCAAGCAATGGAGCATCCTTGAAAGACAAGATCAACTAGGGTCTGATGGATGACAGTCAATTTGGTGAACTCAGGGCCTGGGTGTTGTCCCTGAGCTTTTTGGCGCTCTACCACTTGGGCCAGAGTTCTACTTTTTTTGGCTTTTTGGTGGTTCATTGGAGATAGGAGTCTCACGGATTTTCTTGCCCAGGCTGGTTTCGAACTGCGATCCTCAGATCTCAGCCTCCTGAGTAGCTAGGCTGACTGGAGGGAGGCCAGAGCGCCCGGCAGGACAGGCTGTTTTGAAGCAAGCAGGAGGTCCTGAGGAGCGCTGGCTGGGCTGGGCTGGAACCTGGATGGCGAGTGGCTGGTCCGCGAGCGCGCATCCCGAGCGGAGCCGCCCCGCCCGGGTTGGGGTCGAAGCCGAGGGCGGCGCGAGGCGCCTGGGAAAATCTCACCTGGGAGCGGCTCAGCGGGGCGGACCTTCGCAAGTCGCGGGCTTTCACGTTGCCCCGCCCCTCGGCCAATAGCAGAGCAGGGAACCTCCAGACATGGGCTGGGGTTGGACGGGATGGCGCAAAGCCTGGCGCGGATTGGACGCTGCCCGGAGGGGCGGGGCGGGGCTCCGGATAGCTTAGGCGCTCCGGCCGGCGGGCGGCGCTGAGCGCTCAGCCACGGGGGCGCGGGGCAGGCGGAAGTGGCGACGCTGGCGTCCCAGGAGCTCCCGGCCGGCGGCAGTGACGGCCCCGGCGCTGACGGCGGCGGCCCGGGGGGCGGCGTGGACGCCCGCGGCGCCGGCTGGGGCATCACCGCGGGCCTTGACCCCGAAATGGCGCTGCTGGCCGAGCACTTGCTGAAGCCGCTGCCCGCGGACAAGCAGATCGAGACCGGGCCCTTCCTGGAGGCGGTGTCCCACCTGCCGCCCTTCTTCGGTAAGTCGGGGTGACGGCGGGGGGGGGGCTCGGGGAACGGGGCGGATGGCCTGCAGCCCCGATCCCCGGACACCCCAGACACCCCGAGGCCCGTTTCTAGTCCGCAGACCCCCCCTTCCTTCCGAGCATCCCCAAATTCTCCCTGCTCCGAGCGTGCCCCCTTCCCCATCTCTACCCGGACATCTCCACGCCCTCCATCTCCCTCCCGCTGCTTCAGATAGATAACTCCAGCCATGCGCTGCTTCCTCCTGCACCCCAATCACCCCTGACCTCCCCCCCCGCAAAGTCCCTTCCTCTTGCATCACCGCCGGGGGACCCCGGGTCCTCCGCCTCCCCCCAAACTTCCTGCCTCTCCCCCAAAGGCCAGCATCCCTCACCCCGTCTTCTTTAAAGACGAGTAAACCATCCCTTGCTTGACCCGTCCAGAGTCTCTCCTTCAATGTTGCTGCATATTCCAGATCAAAGACGCCCCCTCTCCCCACAAAACTGCACCTCTCCGGAGGAGGCAGGCAGGGAGGGGGATTTTGGCGACAAGTTGCAAAACGCCAGGGGAAGTTACTGAAAATTATTTCCTCCATTTAGGCTGAGATTCTGCGTGAGGATCAGAGGGGCTGCTTTATGGGGTGGCTGTCAGATATTGGCATCTTGGCACCTTGTGCTTCGAAAGAGAAAAACCCTGCTGGGTGCTGGTGGCTCACTCCTTAGGCTTAGCTACTCAGGAGACTTGAGATCTGAGGGTCACAGTTGGAGGCCAGTTGGGGCAGGAAAGTGCCTGAAACGCTTATCTCTAGTGAACCACCAAAAAGCCAGAAGTGGAGCTGTAGCGCAAGTGGCACCATGCCAGCCTTGAGTGAAAAAGCTAAGGGACAGCACCAGGTGGTGAGTTCAAGCCCCAGGACCAGCACAGACATACACACTCAGAAAACACCCCCCCTCGCCGCTTATATGTCAAAGGAGGTCATCTGACCTCTGGGAAGGTGATTCCTAAGCCCAGGACAGCTCTTCCTCCTTCACTTCCCTCCCAGTCCAGCTCAGTCCAGGTCCTCCATGGAAAATGGGAAGGGAATCCAATGACATCTGCCCTTTGCCTTTCGGTCCATAAAGAGTGCAACCTGAGCCTTGCTTTCTTCTCTGGGGAACTCTCCCAGAGCCCCGCCCTGCTGTTGTACTCAGCCATATTGCAGAAAGACATCAGTCCCCGGGACAGAGTCCAGCCAAAACCCACAAAGGGGCAGACTTGGACTGAAGAGATCTGCTACCCAGCCGGTCATTCCCAGGGCTGGTTGGGAGCAGTTGTTCCCACAGAAGTGTACAGTTTTGCCTAGCTCTAGCCTAGATTATTTCCTCCTCCACCTCTGAGCCTCAGGGTCCCCATCTGTGAAATGGGGATGCTGATCCCCGTGGTATGTGCGGCTGTGAGGGGACGACGGCTTTACGGCTTTATAGCTGTAAGTCCTGGGTCCAGTTTTGCTTCCTTCTCACAGTAGATGATTAACCAGTGCTGAATGGGCTGAGTGACTTGCCTGGTCTGGATGAGTCTCCAGCCCGGGCAGCCACCTGACCGAAAGTGGGGTCTCAACCTTTCACATCTATCACTGTGCTCTCAGTACCCTGGCACATAGTAGGTGCTCAGTCAATACTGTGTCTACAGCCCTTGCTTATTATCAGTATTTGAAGCTTGAGATAATACTGCTTCTGGTTGTGGTGGTTTTAGCACCGAGGAGTTGATTCTTTTCTTGCTTTGTTGTTTCCTCTTTGGTGGTATGAACTGTGGCATGCATAGCCACCTTGCTCGGGACCCGGATTTACATTCTGTTTAAACCACTGACTCTCAACTGAGGGTAGTTTGGTCCCTTAGGTGACGTCTAGCAATGTCAGGGGACATTGTTTTATTCTTGGCCATAACTCAAGGGGTACAATCGGGGTTCTTCCTAAATGTCCTACAATGCACAGGGCAGCCCCCACCCACCACCACCACAGAGACTGCTCAGCCTCAGCGCCAGCAGTGAGTCTGAGGTGGGAGATGCAGGTTGGGCCGTGTGGCTCTTCTTCCTGGGGCACACTCCAGGTGCAGTGATCTGGCTGGTTGGGCAGGAAAGGGGGAGGTGGTGGCTGGAGCCAGCACAGAGGAGCACCTCTGCCCCCCCCCCCTTTCCCTGGTCTCAAAAGACCCTTGTCTCTGCTGCCATGCTGTGCTGTGGGCTGTCACAGCTCTGGACAGAAGCTCCATTCACACAGAAGCCACCAGTGGGCTTGGACCACAAAGGACTGAACAGCCGGTGGCCCTGTCTCTGCCCACCAGAGCCATTCACTGCTCACTGAAGAGGATGCTTCTTAACATAAACTAGAGAAAAAGCAAAAGAAAAGTGCTAATCTGTGGTGAGCTGTGCTCTTCTGCAGAAAACTTTCTCTGGAGGGTTTGATGCTGGGGTTTGGGGAAAGTTCTTCCCTGCTGGCAGGGAGGGATTCTAGTCTCCATCTGGGAAGCAGCTGCTCACCAACATGACCCGGGCAGTGTGTGTGGCTCTCTAATACAGCTGGCCTGAGGTGACCATTGTCTCAAGCCAAGGTTTATCCACTGAGGCACAGCCAGCTTGGGGGTCATTTGGGGGGGGATGGGAGGCTGCTGCCAGGTATGTCATAAGATGTTGTGCATTCCTGATTGCTACCCTCCAAGATATTATCTCCGGGGAAGCAAAGTCAGCTCTGATTCATATTCTCTCTTTCTCTCTCTCTCCCTCCCTTCCCCCCCTCTCTATGTGGCTGAAATCTGTGTCTTTAAAAAATTTAATTTAATTCTGCAAGGAAGGTTTAGTCATGGAAGGAAATTTATGCAAAGCTAACTGATGCCTGCCATTTATTGAACACTTACTGTGTGCTTAGTACTGTATGTGAATACACTTAGTCTTACCATCAACTCTGTGTGTGTGTGTGTGTGTGTGTGTATGTGTACACGAGTATACCAGTACTGGGGCTTGAACTCAAGGCCTGGGTACTGTCCCTTATTTTTTTCACTCAAGACTAGTGCTCTACCACTTGAACCACAGCTCCACTTCCAGCTTTTTGGTGATAATTGGAGATAAGAGTGTCATGGACTATCCTTCCAAGTGCTGGCTTTGAAGATTGATCCTCATCTCAACCTCCTGAGTAAATTAGGATTACAGAGGAGAGTCACTGGTATCCACCATTCCCATAACCTCTTTTATTTATTTATTTTTTTGTCAGTTGTAGGGCTTGAACTCTGGGCCTGAGCACTGTCCCTGAACTCTTCAGCTCAAGGCGAGATACCACTTTGAGCCATAGCACCACTTCCAGTTTTTGGTGGCTCATTGGAGATAAGAGTCTCATGGACTTTCCTGCCCGGGCTGGCTTTGAACTGTGATCCTCAGATCTCAGCCTCCTAAGTAGCTAAGATTACAGGTGTGAGCCACAGTACCCAGCTGGACCATGTTTATTTAACTGATCCACTACTGTTAGACACTCAAATTGCTGCCTGTTTTGGTTGTTTTTTTTGTTTTGTTTTTGTGCACAATTTCTGTGCACAATTCTTCGGAACTTTATTTGTTTTAGAAGTGTAGTTATTGGGCTCAAGGGTGTGCAGTCTTTTTATTGGCTAGAACAAGCCCCGGTTCTTAAACCTTTGTAGGGTGTGGTTTGTAACCTAGTTGGTTGGGCTTGGTGAATGCTGGTTCTTTGTGCTATAGTGGGTGTGGGTCACAAGTCAGCCTCCTGCTTGTCCGGTTTGGAGCATCTCTGCTGGGCTTTGCCTGTCCTCTATCTCTAGCCTGAATCTCTCTCCAGTTGTGCAGGTTTTGCCACATCCGCTTCAAGGCCAACCCTTTCTCCCTACCTTGACCCAGTAATTGGATCGCACCCTACTGATCAGTTTGCAAGATTGGCTTTGGTCAGGCTTTCTCTCCCTCCATCCCTCTCCTCCTCGTCCCCTCCCCCTTCCCCCCCCCCCTCAACCTTTAGATGAGTTTTGCAGCCCTTCTAAAGCACTGACAACTGGCAGGCAGAGAAAGAGTCAATGAGATGTCATTGAGAATGGTTGCTTTCCACCTTGAAATCAGGGAACCTGGGGGAGAGCTGCCATGGTTACCTTGCATTTTCCTGTCAGTCTGCTTCCTGCCCCTCCACTTGGCTGTGTTTGAGGTGCAGGGGGGAGACACCACTGTAACTCAGAACACCTGGGACAGATGAGTGGGAAGAAACACAGGCATTTGTATCAAGCTGAGCCAGCCCAACCAGCCCAAGCTTGAGTCCTGTGGGGAGCTGGGGATGCTGTGTGTCCATGCATAAGTCCTTGCCCTCTCTGAGCCTGCAGTCCCAATTGTGAATGGAAGAAACACAGCCTCCCGGGAGGACCCGTGGAGGTGATCTAGGGTGGTGTGGGTGCTTAGTGCCTGGAGTTGCCCCATCTTTGCCCAGGCAGGAGAGAGCTCTAAAAGGGGCATCTTGTTGTCACACAGCCTTTGGGACATGGGTCTGCCAAAAGGAAGCCACCTCTGAGTCTCGATGACACACTGCCAGGGCTCAGGGCCAGCTGCTGGCTGCTTCCAGCAGAATCGCACCAGAGCTGTCGTTTGTAGCATCTGAAGGCCAGAGTGGATGGGACCCTGGTGCCTGCTCGCGCCTGTCCCCTGCTGACGGCAATTAGATCCTTTAGTGTTCAGGGAAGTCCTGGCGTGAGGTCAGGCCGAGGGTCTGACATCTCTTGCTAGAGAGCACCAGAGGGAAGGCAGGGGAGAAGTCGCAGCCCGGCACTGACCGCTTCAGAGAGGTGAAGAGATTTGATTAAGCCATCCTCTGGGCTTTGAAGCAGGTGCAGCCCTGTATGGGTGTGGGGGCGATCAGAGGGTCAGCTCTGGCCCTCTGGGGTGGCCAAGTTTGGAGTTGGGGGAGTGGGGAAGTGACCGGAAGTTGCCTGGCAAAAAATGTGCTTATTTCAGTGAGCTTAGGGTGGAAATGAAAGGTCTAAGGGCTTGGGTTTCATTGTT